AGTACTGTGTTGAACTGGAGTGGGGATAGTGGGCACCTTTGTCTTGTTCTTGATTTTAGGGGAAACAGTTTCAGTTTTTTACTGTTAATTATGATGTTGGCTATAGGTTTGTCATATATCACCTTTATAATATTGAAGTACATTCCTTCTATTCCTAGTTTTCTTAGAGCTTTTATCACGAAGTGATGTTGGATCTTTTTAAAGGTTTTTTCTGCATCTATTGAAATAGTCAAGTGTTTTTTGTCTTTGCTTTTATTGATGCACTGTATTACATTTATACATTTGCTTATGTTGAACCACCCTTGCATCCCTGGGATAAAGCCGATTTTGTCATGGGGTATGATCTTTCTGATGTGTTGTTGGATTTGGTTTGCCATTATTTTATTAAGGATTTTTACATCTATATTCATTAAGGAAATTGGCCTGTAGTTCTCGTTTTTTGAAGGTGTCTTTGTCGGGTTTTGAGATGAGTGTAATATTAGCTTCATAAAATGAGTTCTGGCTCTATCTTTTATTATCTCTTTTTACTTCAGTTCCTGCTTTTAAAAATATATATGTAAACAGACATACCATAAGGATTAAATAGATTCATATGCTATTGTTTTTCTTTGGTAGGACTAGGTGGTTTGAACTCATGTTTTCATGCTTGCCAAGCATGTACTCTACTGCTTGAGCTAGATCTCTAATCAATTTTGCTCTGGTTATTTTGGAAATGGAGGCTTGGGAACTATTTTTCCTGGCTGTCCTGGAATTGTGATCCTCCCAATCTCACTCAGTCTCCCATATTATTAGGATTACATGTGTGAGCCACTACCATCAGCTTCAATACACTTTTTTTAGTGATTTCTTTACTTCGTACATGTGCGATAAATGTTAACTGTTTTTCCTACTATTGTCATCACCGCTTTGTTCTGCAAAATAAATTGGCAAGTGTATCACCTGCGGAAAATCTTGGAACTGGTTTCATTCAGTTCCAACAGACCAATGCAGAAAATCAGGGCAAGGATTCTTGAACTTGAGGATTTAATAAGAAAATATGTATATGTGGACTGTAGCCAGAGGCCTAGGGATTTTATTTTTACCTGTTGCTGAAGTCTAGATATTTGCTCTGATTATTAGGAGATTGTCACATGAGACATTTTATTTCTTTTTTTTATGATCAACATTTAAAATTTATTTTTAATAATTTATAGTTGTAGAACATAAGAGATTTCATTACAACATTTCCATACATGCATATAATGTACTTTGATCATACATTTTCAGGAAAGATAGAGCTGGGAGAACTTTGCAATTCATTTTTTCCTTGTATGTGCTAATTTGCTTGCTTTTTAGAAATGCATGAGTTTTATTCTTTCTTAGTCTCTTTTTTTCTTTCTTAGTTATGGGTTATACAATTCCAAAATACCAAGCTACAGTTCCAATATTATAATTTTTAAAATGTCAAGTTGGCATGCTTGTAATCCCATTCCTTTGGGTATATCTATCCCTAGGAGTGGGATTGCTGGATCATATGGCAGATCTATGTTTAGATTTTTAAGAAGACTCCATTTTTTTTTCCAGAGTGGTTGCACTAACTTGCATTCCCACCAGCAGTGTATGAGGGTTCCTTTTTCCCCATATCTTCATCAACACCAGTTGGTGGTGGTGTTTTTGATGAATTTCTTATACTTTCTCAATAATATAACTTTAGGGGTTTTTTTGCAAACATTTAGAATATATTATCCAGGTAGTACAAGTATAATGAAAAGATAGATGGTCACCATTTTGCATAGTTCATGATGAAGAGTAAATTATTAGTCAACATTATGGTTATTGCCAATGTATCAAATTGGCTTGGAGCAGTGACATCTCAGGGATCATCTATTTCAAATCCTCAATAAAATATCAGTTTACACATGCATGACACAAATTCATAGGCCATTCATTTCTTTCCATCTCAGATTTACAAAAGAATATGAATGGAAATACTTGCCTCACCTTGTCACATATGTATAGAAACACACTGAAACCAAGCACATCATGCTCAGTAGATTTAAAGAAAGTATCTTGTGCATATTTAAGTAATGGAAAAAGTCTTAAAGTGAATCTAAAACAAGAATTTTTTAATAGCACAATTGCTAAACATTCACGAGCAAATACAGCTAGCCAAGTAGCATTTCTCTTTTAAGTTATTTATATAGAAATATTTCTAATTTTTTATGGTAGCTGAGTTTGAAATCAGAGTCACACATTTTCCAGGCTGACATGGACCACAATCCTTATAGACTTACATCTCCTATATAGAAGGGATTATATGTGTGCACATCACATCATATCACCTTGTTTGTTGATGTAGGGGTTCACTAGCTTTTGGCTAGAACCACTGCCCTCGTGTTCTCTCTCTTCTGAGTAGCTGGAATTACAGCAGGAGCCACCAAGCCTGGCAAAATACATTTTTCCTGACCTTAACACTGAAATGGGTATTGCAGTTTGTAATTTTAGGTTGCATTCACTGTTTACTTCATCCATATGAGAAAGTTCCCTGATAAAAGCGCATAGACTTCTAACGAAATGGTGTTTCTGCTCATAAATATGTCATCTATTCTGAAGAACATAAATCAAAATGATAACAAGATAAATAAAAATGGCTTGGCATAAAATAATATAGAACTTAAAGGGATTTTTTATTAATGAAAAACATGAAACCTTCTTTCACGTGATTCAAAAATATCTCCCAACTACTATAATTTCAGACTATACTACAAGGCAGACAATGATTTCCTTATGATGCTCTGACCCCCATTCCTTCTCTGCTTGTGACACTTGGGCATTCAGCCTGTGTTGTGGTTGTTTTGCAGATATGTTCAAAAACACGGTTACAGAGTGGGAGATAAAAGAAACATAAAAGCTTTTATTTCAATATTATTTTAAACTAGAAGGAATCTGAATTTCAGACTTTAAATCCATAAAAAACCTGTAATTTTAATTGCTCTTGGACAAGTTATTTATTCTATATAAGGATAAGTATTCCTGCTATTAAAATGTTGAAAATATGGATCTCAGACTTTTGTGAGAAGGAAATAAGAAAGGAATGATACAATTCCTAAAATTGCTTGTAAATGCTTTGAAAGTTCCAATTCCCTTTTCCACATCCTTTCCTAGTTGATCTCTTGTTACACTTTGACCAACAAATTCAAACATGAATAAATGCCAAACAAGCCTATTACTTATCCAGATTCTCTTTTGCTAGATAGGATCTGAAGAAGATTATCCTGTTACTCATGGTACCTAGGCACACCATCTTGGATCACTAAGTATGGGTAATTCCTTTTCATGGAGACATTGTCTTACCATACTACCTCAAACCATTTGTCTGGGTCTCTGTCCAAACTTCTTCAAACCAACCTTCACTTACACTCACGAGCATTGTATTGTACAGCTGTTAGTGGTTTTGTACCTGTTTTAAAATCATTCAGCATCTCCCCTTAAATAAGAATACTGGTATTTTCTAAGAACATATTTGCTATCTGCTATACTACTGAGTCAATGTATTTTATATTTGGAAAACCCAAAAAAGAACCAAGTTTATAAGGCCACTTTTTACACACATGCTAAATAATCTCCCAATCTATTCTGACCACTTAGGTATCACTGCTTACCATGCTTAAGGAAGGAAGGAAGGAAGGAAGCAAGGAAAGATTGAAGTGAGGGAAGGGGGAGGAAGAAGGGAGGAAGGAAAAGAAAATCTAAAGCTTATAAAGTTAGAACCATATTCTTTAATAAGGTTATATAGTAGTGAATCAAATGCATTATTTGTTTCTCCTGTTTTGGTTTCCCTTATTAATAGAGGTGAAAATATTGCTTTAAGTTATTCTATGTTGCCAGTCATAATACTAGTCATTGGTCATATGCATTCCATATCATTTAGGATGATGATTTATCGTTCTCTAATGAATTAACTCATTTTTAAAATTGGCTCACAGTAATTACACATCTTTATCATGTACAACATGACATTTTGAAATATGTATACTGAGTCTGGTGGCCCAATTGAGCTAATTAACATAAGTACTAAGGTATGATGATTTAATTGTTACTCTTAACATTTGGCCATTAGACTTTTTGTTCAAGTAAAAACATTTCCATGAAGAACATATAGGTTAATGATATTTTTCAAATGTGCCAATGCAGTAAAATATGGAAAAACATATAACCAAAGGAATAAAATGTCTGTTTAATGAAATATTTCTCAATGTTGCCTATTTCATTAGGTGAACTCATAAACCCTCCTTCTGGAGTGCAAAGAGAAAAATCACTTTGCTTTGGTTTTTAAACTTTTTGGGAAAATAGTTCAGGATTTAATCAAGTTCTTTGTGAAACTAGAGATAAAAAACATTCAGCTTCAGTATTATAAGTTTTAGGAACACAGAAATAATCCTTGAAAATTCAACAGAAAGGGAGTAGGTATGGACTGGTGTTAAATGCAATACTCCAAAGGAAACTGGATGAAACACAAGTGAGAAGTGCTCATTTTCAATAAGACACACAGACTTATAGAAAGGAAACAGGTGTGAATCATTCTATTATCATAGAAACTATAGTAATTTTCACCTATTGCAAAACTAAAATGAAATAGCTAGTCAGAATGAAATCAATACAAATAACATCAATATCATCTCATACACAAAAATATATGAAAATAGTTCAACACATATAATTGTTAAGACAAAGGGACATAATTACTGAGCTAATTATATAATTTAAAAATAATGTAGCAGCATTTGTTATTACTATGCTTTCTCTCAGCTTTTACATGTTTATATTACTTTTTCTGTTAATAAGGTATCAGGTTAAGATAATCACCCATTAAGAATATTTCACTTTAATAGGAACCAGTAGCATAACTTTTGACTATTTTCTATTAAACTGTAAATGATCATGATTTTAACTAAAAATTAAATTCTCAAGACAGATAGCTTTAATATCTTCTGTTTTCCAGAGAGAAAAAGGTGACGTACTTTTGGGGAACCGAGGTGGGTTGTCATTGACATCAGTGAGGGTGATGTTGACTATTGTCGTTCCAGCTAATCCTCCCAGCTGCCCTCCCATATCCTTGGCTTGGATGAGCACCTGGTATTGTTCCTTGACTTCTCTGTCCATGTTAGGTAAAGCTGTTCTGATAATACCTGGAGGGAAAAATAGTAATACAATGTCAATATTATAAAATAAAATACACTGTGAAAACAACAAAAATTATTCTGTCTAGATTCACCAGCAAAGAAAGGCTGTATAAAATAATCCATCTTTTACAAAGGAAAACACCCCAAATGCCCAACAGTTAGGATGCAATAATAGCTACATAATGAAATGCAGTACAGCAGTGAAAAACTGTATGTTAGCTCTTTATGTCAACTAAGTTAGACCTTATCATAAAAATGATTCTACCTTTAGAAAAACAAATTATTATTTTTTCAGAAAAAAATTTAGATATGGAAATATTTGGTTAAGCTGAATTGCATGTGTAATTTCCAATAATTTCCTCTTCTTCACTCTTTATTTTCTATAGCAAATACACTACTCAATTTTTAAAAGTATATTAAATATGTCCTTTCCATATGCTCTTTTGTCTTTCAGGTCTCCCTCATTGTTTTAACTATAGATTTTTAACTTATCTTTGCCATTGTTTGGTATTTACATCTCTTGCCTGCCAGTATCTTTAGCACCTAGGACCAGTGTCTGACATTTAGAAATAAGTCAGTAAGTAATTGAGAAAATGAATAATTGACTGAACAAGTGAACTGAGCTATAAGAAATTAGATTTATGGTTGTGAATTTTATAGGACATATGAATATTTACATATGGTACTCATTTTCTACTCTTGTGTCCAAGTATAAAACTAATTTACATTTACATTTATTCATAGTGGAATAAGTAAGACCTTTAGGATTGTTTGCAAGTAAAATCAACAAAACTTTTCTTTTTTAACAAAATTCCCATGTAGTCTCAATGGTTTCAGAGAGAAATCCAAGAGCCTTGATCTTAAATCCGCAAGGCTCTGACAGTGTTGTACCTTAAATAAAGTAGCATATGTGAACAATTAAGGTAATAGCCATTAGCACAAGCATATGGTATTCAAATTGCAAACCTAATATATACCTGCATCTCTGTAGTTTCTACTGTCAGCTTACCAAATGTATTCTGCTGCCAATTCATACTTTACTATAATGAGATTTCTTCTGACACTTGGCAAGAAATAGTTACAAAATGACATCCTTCCTTTTTTTACTGATGCTTTATTCATGTATTGCTACTGACACCACTTTGAGTCAATCTGTCTTTCATCTCTTCAGCTTAGGCTCCTGATGCTTTATGTCCAAGTCTCTTAAAACTAAGATTTTTCCTTTTCTGAATCTCAATATTCTGGTTTTACATAGCTTAAGTTGTGTGACATTTACCTGAAGTATAGTGCTTGAATTTTCTAAATGAATGCCTGGGTTGACTCATATGCATGCTGTCTTGTCCACTTTTGAACAAGGTTTACCTTTACTCAATTAATTGTATATTGTTCTTTATTTAATTCATTTCTTTATGAAAATTTCCAATCTGAAAATTTTACAGAAGACAGAGTGAGAGGGAGATGTGAAATTGAAAAGTGGAGTTGTTTCTCTATAATCATTTGCTTCCTACATAAACTTCTGTTTTCTGGAATCTAGTCAAACAAAAATATTGAGTTGCAATTGTAAAAGAGAGTGCATAGGTATTGTTAAATTTACTTTAAGACTAGAAAAATTTTCTGGTGATTTTCTAAAATCATTAAGCCCTTCTACATAGTACTAATTGCTCTGCCCTTCTGGTGCATCCTGAGTCTGATAGGTGGCATGTGTGCAGCTTCCAGTCTTCCTTTCATTGTCATGCTATGTAACTGGAAGACAATTTGTTAGATTTTGGAACGAGGAAGGATGAGTATGTAGTCTGAAAGACAAGGTCTAATCAACCCCTTGGTGATGAAAAAAGATAACCACTATTTTCATTGATGAACCACAGTTCTACAGAAATAAGTCTTAATGTTTACATATTTTTAAAAGAGGTGAAATCTGGAGAATTAAGGAGACTACAATATTCAATATGACAATAAAATATGGTTTTTGTAAGGCTTGATAAGAAATCTCCTTTTTAAGAAGTTACTTTTATGGCCACTTGTCATTTATTAACTGCTTAATAATTAAAAAAAAAAACAACAGAATGTATCAATAGTCTTGAAAAGGAGGAACTTTGTAAATGACTGGGCTACAAAATTTTTATTGTGGCAAACTGATGAAGAAAAAAACAACAAAAAATGAAACTTATGAACATTTATGAAAAAACTTAAACATTTTACCATAATGCTATCACAAATCTTAATTAATTCCAGATAATTGTGAAATAAATCTTATTTAGTGGACAAAAATAGATAATTTAAATTGACTCTTGGAGTGTTTTGGCTGTCTTATAAACTGACAAACTTTCCAACACATATAATCATGATAGAATAAAAGCAAGAATGAGAAAAATATTCAGATATGTTTCTGGTAGTGCAGATGGTCTTATGAAATAAAAAGAGTTATAAATTTAAAATAATATACCAAAGGACTATAGTTTGAAGAGGATATATTTTCCCTCTGAAATAACGCTGATAGTCTGCAAGTCTCTCAATCATGATAGATCTCAACTTTCTTTGTAAAAGTGGATTAACTGCTTCAACTATAACATTTAAAGATGAACATAATGCAGTAGTGTGTATGAAAATGATAAATATTACATGTAGTCATATCATATGATTTTATATGAACGATTTCTTAAATGGAGGAATAAATTGCAGGACTAAGATGTGGGACAACAGATTCAGTCAGGACGTGCACAGAAATAGATACTTCATCCACATACTGTTACTAGAATTGAGTGAGTAGTGAGTGATGAAAACCATTCAATTTGCACCTCCAGATCCACTTTTCTATACTTCTCTCTGTTCTTTGACTTGTGATTTCCTTGCGCTAACTGGCAGGAGGTTAGAGGTTTTCCGGGGAGGGCACTTGAGTTTTTGTTCCCATGGATTCCCCACTTCCCCCACATCTCTACCATGCCTGTATCTCTAGGCCCACTTTTTCCAGTTTTAGTGAGATAAGTGCATGCATTAGTATTCCTTCTCGACATTCTCTAGGGATTCACTAAAGTTTGCCTGCACCTTAGGAAACGGCCCTTAAGTTAAAATGATGTCAGATTGTTCCATGAGTGCCATCTGTTTCCATCTGGAATGATAACACACAAGCATCCATCGCAGTTTACATTTAGTGGGTGTGTGTTCATGGGAGTGTGGAGCAGACCATAAAGAAGTACATAAAAGAATTAACCAAATTTCAGCTGTTGATGAGTGTTATGAGGAACATGAAAGCTAGTGCCTTTGAATTGGTGTCAGAAAAGTCTTCTCTGAGGAAAGCTGCATAGCTGAAATCTCAGAGAAGAGGAGGAGGCAGACCATGGAAAACATGAGGTGGGGTGAGAAAATCAGAAGAGCATCACTCTTCAAAGCCTCCATAACAGCATTTAGCAGGCAATGTGGCTGCAACAGAGTGGAGAAAGGAAGGAGGGTATGAAATGAGAAGCCAGAAGGGTGGAGTGGGAGTCAAGCAGTGTCTTTGAAAGATAAACAAACCTCCTCAGAAATATCTTAAAATGATGTGTCCGCTTTGTCATATAAAAAAGGCCTTCTACTGACATAAATTTGGTGACAGGAATGCAAATAAAATGGGGAGGTGATATATGCAATATCTAAATATAGCTGTCCTACTGTATCTTAATTATTATCTGAGACATAATGCAATATGTATATAATGAATAAAAGATAGATGATAGATAGATAGATGGATAGATGGATAGATAGATCCCTAAATCTTATTTGTGTTGAGTGTTCATGATGTAGTGACTTTGGGGATTATGGGGAAGTTAACCTATCTAAGGAGGGGGTGACACTGATAATGTTAGGATTGAAAACTTGATTTCTAGTCTAGGACACATAATAACATTGTGTCACATGACTAAATATATTTATAGACAGTGTAGACAGGGGATCATTGAGTAGTAAAATTCATAAAATTATTATAATTCCTATAAACAAAATAAGAACTAAGAAACCCCAACCAAAAAAAATGCTTTTGGTATAATCAAACCTGTCACAGTTTTTGAGAGGGTAACTATACGAAGTTCCCACCTGACATCATTTAGTCTCCAGCTATTCCAGCCACATTAGATTACCTGAGCATTATGCTCTTCCAAACTTATCTTTAATATGCCTGCACAGTTGGTGAGACTGCTCTTCTGTCTAGTTGCTACATTAGTCTTTTTTTTCTGCGAAGACATTTCTGCCTCACTACACAGCTCTAGGAAGAAATGGCTATACCACATATAGAATTAAATCGAAATATGCAGACTGTTTTTCATTTTTCCTCTTTGCTTTCTGGCCTGTATTCTTTCATTAGACTGAAAATTACTATAGGACAAAGAGAAGACTTTAAACAGTATTTCTCTTTCCCTGTTTCCCCTTTCTCAACACATACATAATTTTCATCTGTATGTATAATAATTAATTTCTGTTAACTTGATACAACTTATTTTGAGATATCTTCCCTTTTTATTTCATTGACTGTAAATAAGAAAACACAATATGTTTTCTCCCTTCTTTTCAGGGAGGATACATGCTTTTTCCTTATGGCCAGCCTATGTCCTAAGTAACCTACTTACATTGATTTTACCCATAGATATTTATTGATCTAAAGAAGTTTGTTTACTTGCAAAAGCCCTTTCCACTCTCCCTCATTCTTTTCTTATTTGTAGCTAAATACCTAAAGTGCAATTCTATAGATTATTTTAATCAGTCTGAATGTTGTCATGGTAGTAAAATGTAGACAGGGTAAGACTAAGTCATTTGCTTCACTACAAATCCTAGAAATGTAGAAAAGCACTATATCCCTTTGGAGGCTAAGGGAATGACCAATGAATGACAGGCTTTAATCCCTATTCACTGAAGATTACAATACAAAGCACCCCACTCACCCACAGCACCAGCTTTCTCTCAGTGGAGCAACTTAATGGACAGGTTACAATGCTGTTCTACTCTGAAGTCCCTCTATACTACCCATGTTCCTCTGCTCA